CAGGAAAGAGGAGCTAATGAGCTAACAGAGGAGGCTAACTAGCAAAACATACCATGATCTGAAGGAGAAACTTCAACCAAAACCCTCCTAAATACACATAAAAGGCTAAAAAAAATTTCAAATATGTTTGGTTTCTTGTTGATTTCAATCAGATTTTCTAATTTTGAACACAGAAGACACACAAACTAATCCAACAAAATCTCCCTATAGAAGAGCAGCGTCTGTCTCTTTTCACATGAGAAACATCTGGTCTAATCTGTCTGAATGTAATACAGGAAGCACATTAAACCCCCCCATGGGCCAGAATGTGGCAGAGTCTGTTAGATAGTTAGATAATCCAGGTTTCTGATGATTAGGGTTAGGGTTAGGGTTATATTTTGATATTTTAGGTGTCCTTTGAATGTAACTTAGTCTGAAGGAAGTTTCAGTCCAGACTGATCTTGTTTATGGTTCTGAAATGAGATGTGAAACCCATCCGAGCTCCCTCTTAATATCCTTACCCTAAACCTAAACCTAACCCTATTCCTAACCCTAATCCTAAAACTAAACCTAAACCTAATCCAAACGCTAAAATTAACCCTGAATTTACCTTAACCTTAAACCTAATCCTAACGCTAAACTTAACCCTAAATTTACCTTAACCTTAAACCTAACCCCAATTCTAAACCTGACCAAACCCTAACCCTAACGCTAACCCTAATCCTAACCCTAACCTAGCCCTAATCCTAATACTAAACCTAACCCTAAGCCTAACCCTAATCCAAAATTACCCTAACCCTAATCCTAATAATAAACCTAACCCTAACCCTAACCATAAACTTAACCCTAAACTTACCTTAACTTTAACCCCAACCCCAACCCGAATCCTAAACCTAACCCTAGATTTACCTTAACCTTAACCCTAATCTGGTCCAAAAATCACCACGATATGGAAATCCTACAGAGTCCGTTAGAGGAGGGTCTCACATGACAGCATCCCTGAGCCAAAAGCTAACAGACGAGTTAAGGGTTAGGGTTTGGGTTAGGTTTAGTGTTAAATTTAGGCCTTAATCTGCTGTAAACATCTGACCAAAGGGAATGGGATCCTGAGGGCTAACGGGGCCGTTGGGGACCCACTGGGGCCAACAGCCCGGGAACAAAGGGCATGTAAATGTACAGTTCAGTAGACTGCCCTGACTCCATTGGATGGAGAGGCATAAAGGAGGCCGGGGTCCCTCAGAGACCTCCGGTTTGTTATGCTAATGCCTCGCTTAGATATGGAGGCCCGCTCTAACGCGGTTTGTTTTAAGATCTGAACCTTTTCCCCAGTCACAAAGTCACCAGAAACAAGGGAAAAATCACCAAATTAGTCCCTGAAACTCATCCATTACATCAGATTCTAACAACAACCTTCAAAATCGGCCGCAACAACAATAAATGAAAAGATTCCTTAAGGACAGAAGAAGATAGACTTAGACTTAGACTTTATTGATCCCTTGGGAAGACTCCCTCGGGAAATTGAAGTTACCAGCAGCTTACAGGGCAAGAAAGTGGAACACAGAGAGCAAAAAAATGCAAAATAATGCAAAAAAATACTAAAAGTACAGATTAAGTACAGATCGCACAATTCTTAGTAAAAGAAATCCAAAGGGACACAACATTTTTGCTCATAAGAAATCTAGATTTCACACGTTTTCTGGCCTCTGCTGCCCCTTATGTGACTCAACGTGGGGCCACATGCCGTCAGGGACCTGAAACTCCTCCAT